TAGTTGTGTACCGAATTAAAAAAATAATATTTTTCTTCATGCCAACAAACATAAAAAAAATTCGAAATAAAACTTTGTGGAGCACATCTAAAATGCCATGAAATCCAAACAAAACTTGATAGGACTATTTTACATCTGCCAAAAAAATAGTTATGAATCAAATTTGAATAAAAAATATTTATTCGATATTAAATGAGAAAAAGTTGTCATTAATAAAATTTGTACTGTTAGTTAAGACAACTGTTTTTGATTTCATAGCATCATAGATGCACAGTATAAAATTGCGCTTTGCATCTTTTAACAATTTATTGGCATATTTGGAAAAAATAATTGATATATTTTTTTCTGCAAATTTGATACACACCTTTTTTGGGGGAAGTGGAATTGATCCTCCAGTGTCATTATTTTAATAAAAAAACCCTTAATATATTTTTCTGAAACAAATGCACCAATATAACAAATCATAGCTGGCCATGTGCTTACTGCAATGGAGAACCAATTGTTGCTAATGATAACCTTTCAGAGTTCTACCTATAGAAAAAATAGTCCCACTTGATTCTGCTTATACAGGGTGTCACGCTTAAATTTGATACAAGCCTGTAGCTTCTTTATTTTTTGACCGATTTCAAAATTTTTTTTTTAGAATGTAGGATAAAAAACTCTACCTAAAAACTGCAGTATTACAGTTAGATAGTTTTTTTATCCTACATTCCATCAAAAAATTTTTTGAAGTCTGTCAAAAAATAAAGAAGTTACAGGCATGGAGTGCTCGCCTGAAGATGTATTGATTTTGATGAAACATAGTGGTAAGACGTTTTAAGGGATGCTGAACGAGAATATGTAATGTTTTTTGAAAAAAAAAAAAAAAATCGCTAATACCAATCGGCTGTTTTGATGTCAAGAAAACGCGTCCTAGTTGGCCGTGAATTGCATTAATAAAAACAGCAATATTAGGTAGTTTTTTTAGCCCACATTCCAAAATAAAAATTTTTGAAATCGACCAAAAAAATAAAGAAGTTACAGGCTTGTATCACATTCAAGCGCGATAGCCTGTATATTTAAGGACATGTTAACATGGAAAAACCAGACATGCTATAGTTTTTGAATGGTACTTTGTACATTCCATCGAGCTTTGGAAGTACTGTTGGCGCGAATTTGAAAAAATCATGTTAAAAAACGTATTAAATAATTTTTATTTTTGAGAATGATTTGTGCAATTTTGTGTGGAATACTGTAGCAATATGTATATTATTGAATAAAAACAAAATTGTTTTACTTAGCGGTGGCTGTATTTATAAATATACAATATTGTATTGATGGGCATTGTCAAAGGTGGGAGAGGATGAATCTGTGGAAATAAAGTTAAATATACTCTTCTACAAGATTATGTTCCCCTACAAGGTTCAGCCCTTCCCCTGGATGAGTTCCTAGCTATACCCATGATTGTATTGATAAGGTTTAGTTCTCAAAGGGGTATAATTATATAATAAAACTTAAGAAGAGCTTAAAATATTAATAACGGAGTGTAAAAATATATTATTTTACATTGCTATTATAAATGATGGTTATAATAAAAGCAGATTTTCATCTTTTTTAAATCAGTATTATAAGCCAAAAGGAAAGACTTCAAAAATTATTGTATTTATTGCAAAAACTGATACAGGGCATATGTTTGAAGGTAATAAAAATTACATATCTATGTCTAAATTTATTTTTCTCATTTTGGTTAGTTCATCTGCTACACATTACATTTTTACATTATTTTCATGTTTCATTTTACATTTATCAACAAATTGGGTACAGTTGACTATCGATTTGTGGTAAGTATGATGAGTTGTTAGGTAGTCAAGTTAAACTGATTATTTTTTAATGCGTACAGAATGAGTGAAATTCGATGGGACTTTTTATTTTATTAGATATTTTTGGCACACTGAAAAGAAAAAAAATTAAATATGTAAACTCTTGCGCCAAAAAGGATCAGTCAAGGAGGTTAATTTTATAAATTTAGTTTTTGCTTCATCAGTGTCATATACTTCTGAGAAATTTATTCTTATGTTTCACGTTTGAATGGAACAAACCTATGTAGATTTTATTAAATTCACTTAATACCCCTTAGATGGGTACGGGCAAAGCAGTTGAGGGCTGTTCTGCTCAATGCACTGTGACCATTGAGCAGGAAAAACAAGAAAAATTTGCTCTCCCATATCTTCCTCAACCCCGTCCAGCAGAGGGCACTTTTCACCACTGTAGGGGGTTGGTTCTTTGGTTGTGTTCACCCTCCCTCTTATAAGCTAGAAGCTTTCATGATGCAGATCCATGTCCGGAAGAGTATAAAAGTAGAAGGGGTGTAGAAGGCGTACCAACCCTTTCGAGGGAGTCCTTCGCAATAATAACTGAGCGTACGAGGGTTGCAAAGTGCCCTTTTTTTTTGTGGGGCTATGTTATTGATTTAATACTGTTAAACAAGTTAGATATATATCATACTGAGTCGATAGATGAAATTGTTGAATTTGGAATAACAATTTAAGTGAAGTTTTTGATATTCATGCAACCAAAAATAAGAGTTTCTAAATCACCTGCACCCTGGTTAACTGAAAATTTATGATGAATATTAGAGATTATTAAACATGAAAAGATCATGGAATTATTCTTAACGAATTAAGAAATTTAGTTAATATATAAACAGGAAAAGAAAAAAGCTTTCTTGTAACAAAAATAAAAGATCTAAGAAATTTTGAAGAGCTATTAACTACTTAAATGTTACCTAAAAAATCATAAAACAAAAATTCCTGAATTTAGTGCCAACAATTTTAACACTTTTTTTTAATAAAGTCTAACTTATGTTATGGGTGAAGGCGAAGATACATATTACTTGTGATATATAATGATAAATATCTCAATATTAATAATTGTCCAATGAAATTATCTACTGAAAAAGTTGAAAAGCAATGTGTATCATTAAGTTTAATCTGAATAGGGCAGATGGCATCGATTCGAAAATGTTAACTTTTGTACTCCCTGTTTTCAGTGCATATTTAACATTTATTATTAAGTGCTTTTTCCTACATCCATTCTCTAGACTAGCGGTCTTCAAACTTTTACGACGTACGAGACCCCACCATTTCGATTTTTTTGAGGAACCCCTACACAAAATTTTTGAACACATTTTTTATTGATTATTTAATATATTTATAAATATGTACTACGATTAACAAAATAAATATTCCACTAAGAAAAAATTAATGTAAGACTAAAGTTAAAGTAATTATTTATTGAGTAATTAAAAAGTGTAAATATAATCAAAGACTGGGATGTGCTTGAATATTTTTACATAATATGTTAAAATCAGGTGCTATTGTCGTAAGTTGCAATCACATTTCAAATTCTGCATTAAGCGCATTGTGATACTTTGTTTTTGTCGTTACGTATGTGGAAAATGATTTTTCGCACAGGTATGTAGTTGCAAAAGGCATACATTTATTGCCTGGTCAGCAATTTCAGGATATTCCTTATAAATCTCTAGCCAAAAATCAAGGGAAAGGCGATGTAACCAATGCGAAGAACGCTGCGCCAGCTTATGTTATAAGCCGACTACATGCACTTGCATAAATAGATAAAGCTCTTATACACATGTACTAAAAATAAAAAGTAGAGTATAAATTTTTTGAATTTTGTAATTATTGATAATAAAATTTTAAATTTTTGACCGAGTCGCGGAACCCCCAGAGGTTGTGCGGAACCCTGGGGTTCCGCGGAACACAGTTTGAATACCACTGCTCTAGACAGTGGAAATATGCTATGTTATGCCTACCCCTAAAAACCTAGTCCTATTGAGTTATCGCATTATATACCAGTAAGTATCTTACTGTTCCAAAAATGCTGGAAGTAGTTGTTGAATAAATGAATCAATCAATTTCTGTCGAAATATACAGCTCTAGTTAATGTGGTTAATGTTATGGATGACAATTTCAGGGCGACTGTTAAAAATTAAAATATTCTTTTATTATTAGATTACACTAAAGCCTTTGATACTCTTCACATCCTGTGTCAAAAGCTTAAATATTTTGGCTTTGATGATTCAGTGGCACTGTTTATAAAAAGTTATTTATCAAAAATGCCTAATTTTCATTTTCCAAAGTAAAGATATTCTGAAAAAATTACTTAAAAATTAAGGAGTTACATACTTAAAATTTTAAAAAAATTATTCCTACACATTTTTATTTATAATTTTAAGATAAAAAAATTAAGATAATTCATTTCATTATAAAGTTAATTGCATCGTGACCACCAGCCCATCAGATCGGCACGGCTACCTATCTAACTACCCTATCTCTCGACAGTTGCCAAAAGCCACTCTTAATAAAATAATTTAAAAAACCATAAACAACACAAAGATGCAAGAGGGATGAGGTGCACAGCATGAAGCTGACATGGCATGTTAGCTATAAGTTCACTTTCATTCAAAACTTTTAAACACATTTTACTGCTGTTAAACAAAGGCTTTTTGCATGTTTTTTAATATCAAATTTAGATAATCGTTTTCTCTACAGCCTAGATTTTTTGATTGACCAACTTTTAATATAAACAAATATTTTGGTAGAAAATTGCACATTATATTTTGAAACACCGTAAACTTTTTGTTTTTGAAAAAAATAAAACAAATCTGTCCGTCAAGAAATAACTACATTATTTTCCATTTTTGCAGATTGGATCATTTTTGGTGGTTATCGTGCTGCAGCAAAAGCGTTTTCGTTTTCATCATTGACCATTGACCCCATAAAAAATAATGTTAACACTGGAAAACATTTTTATATTTTTCAATACAAATTTTTCATTTAATAACTCATAATTTTTTAAATATACTACATGATTTTAGCAGCGTGCAGGTATATTTGTAGTTTTTGGAAAAGCTGCTTGCTGTTACATTGTTAAAAAAGTATGACAGGTTTTCTAGATATTATAGTTTTTTCATTATGGATTCTTTTAATAAAACAGCAAAGAAAGATTGTTTGTTATTTATATTTATAGTTTAATTATAAAATAAACAGGATAAGTAACATAAATCATATTACTTTCTTGGTTGAGGCTGAGCTCTGTTGTTGTCACGACCAGGGAAGTTTCTTTGAGGAGGGGTCCTGATTCTCCTGTCCTTTTTGCTTCTGTTACGGACTACTTTACTGTGAATAGCACATGACACGCAATAATGAAGCTTCGCGTACAATTTGGGTAGGACGTATTCTGTAAATTAACAGATTATTTTTTAGATTTTATTTAGGCAGCTATCAGTTACTAATTTATCAAAATTTGTGAACAATATGTCTACACTGCTTGCATTAAACCCTCTTCTACTATTATGAAAATTATCAAAAAACTATTTTTACTTTCTAACACATGATTATATCAACTTGTGTCTTAATTTTTCTTTTCTCGAGAATAGTCATCTACTACCAATTACATAAAAAATTACATTTGGTTTTCCAATGTACAGATTCCCAAGTTTGGAAATATGCATTTATAATTAAATAAGAAAACATACTAACACAAAACTGCATTTTGTTTTAATTTTTTGTTACTTACTATTCTGAAATACGTTTGCTTTTTATTGTTAATATAATTATCAATATTAGATCAAGAAATGCATTTTTCAATTACATATTGATAATTTTACACTTAAAACTGAGTGGTTCCGTAATACTTAGATATCCTGACTGGATTTCAACAAGCTACCTCGAGAATCACGTAATTGGCTTCAAATTTCTCTCTTTTTATTTAATTGTGATCAGATATCTTCTCTATTTTAACTCACTACTTGATAGCATATTGTAATATGAGCCAATTTTCCAAAATTTTTCCATGAATTCCCTGATTTCTTTTTATACTTTATAACCAGTAGATTTTATATGGGTCTTCAATTTATTTAGTACGAATTTTTTTCTTAATTGATTAAAATAATATATTCTTCCAGTTGTAGAATCTCTAACCAAATTATTGACAACAGATAGAAAAATGGCAGTTATTTATGTATATCGAAAATATTCCCGAAAAACTCTTATTTACTTCGTTGTCAGTTTTATTATTCTATTTGCTATCTTCAATTCAAGTGTGAATAACAGTTTTTGATTAAAATTATAAGGGATGGTCTAAAATGAAAATATTTATGGTCAAAGTCCAGAAGCAGATAGTCGAAAACATGGGCGAAGACATGACAAAAGCCGAGTTTTCAAGTTCAAAAAATAAAATTATTTTTATATATTCCATGCGTTTTCAGAATAACTGTTTATCAGACTAGTAGCCAGTTGATCCCAAAACAGAATTTTTGATAAGTTGTTAAGGCTTCAATTAAAAAAAACTACTAAATGGTCAAAAACCAGACTCGTGACCCTTATCATGTGTAAAAAATTGGAACGAATAAAAAAATATATTAATGAAGTGCAGCGATGTAAGGAAAACTAAGTTGTAATTAAATAACCAATATTAAGAAAAACAACACTTACGGCCATATACTGATGCCTCAGTAATATCCCTAACAGCAGCAGCTTCTACGATATTACGAATAACAAACTTTTTGATGGCCTTATCTTTAGGCACACATCTAGCACAATTGGTGCAACGAACTGGCTTAACATGTCCTCTGCCGTGTTTGGAACGGCCTCCGTTACGCCTTTTACAGGTCTGAAAGAAACAAATTTATAACCATGTGTCCACATAGAGGTTATTATCTGAGAAACTATTTACAACGGTTAAATTAACTTATAAACAATAAAATATCTTAACTGTCCGCTCAATTGAGAAGAAATGTATGTGATAAACTAGGAATATACATTTAAATATACCAAAAAAGAATAAACATACCATTCTACAAAGTTTACTTCACAGTAAATCGGAAATAAAGACGGAGAAGCAGGATTGACTTGGGAATGTTTTGTTCTGCATTGTTGGCTGCGTTCAACTTTCCGGAAACGTAAATGCCCGCGTAATTTGAATAAACCACAATTACATTTATAAATTTATGAAAGCTTTAAAAATAATATTACGATTTAATTAAAGTAATAGTTCATATTGGTTAAATGGTATAGTTGCTAAATTACATTTGTCCATGGTCTATTCCGATTCCTCAGTGTCGTAACTCATACTTCTTAAAACCTATGCTAAGCTATGTAATGTAACTGAAGAAAAACTGAAAAATTTCTGCATGAGTTAACTTCACTATAATAAATCGATTTATTGTCTTAAAAAGTTTTGTGGTTAATAGAGAAAGTTTCTAACATGTTTTCGATATATAAATATCGAATGCATTTATGAGATATTACATTATGTTCCAGAACTGTTACGTTTAAACTAGGCAACATGAAATATGTAAGTAAAATATTTTTTTTAGTGCAGTAGTGCAGTGATTAAAACTTTTATCTTCCATTTAGTTTGTGATAGCCTTATGTACCATCTTGCTTACGTGCGAGTTACTGGTTGCTCATCCTGTCGAAGATCAAGTTCAGAATCCTTCACTTGAAAATGTTCGTCCTGAAAGAGACACTGGTCATCATGACGATGCTGTAGATTTTGGAGCACATACTGGAGATAATGGTGCCTTCGGATGGTATGCCCATTATCCCGTTCAAAAATAATATAATTTCTCTTAACGTTTAGTTTATTGTTTCCTTGATTTCTTACAATGAAGTTTTGTATTTATTATGTACCAAAGATATGGGCAAGTGCATTGATCTCTTGTACCTAGTTAGCTTACAAGTTTACTACATATTTTGCTTTGTTCCTGTCGTGTATATATTTAATTTAATAAATTCAGTAACAAAAGCATTTTTACCTTGATTTCATTATATTTATTGTTAATGCATTTATTTTTTGCAGATTTTTCTATATATTATTAATTTGTGTTTTATCTTTTCTTTATTTTTGTCTTAGCTGTACCTCTCGTCTTTTAATATTTATTTTATCACATACATTAATTTTCATCAGTTCCATGTACATGTTTTGTCCATTTCTTTTCTTTTTATTTACTTAAATGTAAAATTCTTTTGTACCTTTTATATTGTACTGTATCCTAAGATAGAAAAAAATAAATCAATACAAGTAAAAATTTTGTAATTTATTCATCAAATTTGTGTCAACATTTTTTATAGAAGGTATTACTTAAAAATACATACTTTCACATTTTCATTTGTGAAGAAATTGATTTGAAAAAATTACAACATCCTGTAACCTTTAAAAGCACGCTTTCACTTTGCCCAATTTGTTTTCTTTTTCTTTTTATTATATTTATAGTTTAGGCAGTCAAATTTACAAAACTGTTGGCATAAATAAATACAACTATGATATATTCATAATTTATTTAATAAAACTAATACTTACACATTACCGATTTGTACAATGTACTTTCAATCTATTAACATTCTTTAAAATATCATTAGCAATAATGAAGAATTGGGAATTTTTCAAAAATGGATAGTCGATTACTCTATATATAATACAATTAATACATGCTTTTATAAAAAACAGTCATTCCATTTTTGAAAAATTTATTAAAATATATTTAGTCATCCGCTAGAGCACTTTCCATTGCTTCCTTTAAATTTTTTTCAAACATTTTTTTCGCATCTGAAAAACCTTGTTTTGTCTTGCCAAATGAATTGGGACCAGATGAGGTGGGTGTATCTCTAAAAAGAAACATATTTGTTTATATAAATCGTCATTACGCCTTCAAAATGCAACATGTGCTTATTTTCAACAAAACACCTTAAGTGCACAATTCGATAAACAACATGAACCTGAATAAACTAGTTAAAAACAGCCATCTTATTTTCTACAGAATTATCTGTGGTAAAATTAAAAATATTTCTAATTCTTAAATAAAAAAGGCCAAGAAACAGTTTCTTTTAACTCCACTCAATAATTTGATAAAATACACATGCCATATTTTGAAGGCGCAACACAATGATGAAATGTATCATGCCCCAATCATTGGCAAATGTAGTCGCACAATATGGTTGGCCTAATGTTGGTTAAATTTTCAGCAACCATTTATAAACTTGCGAACGTCGTCGGCCAACAAATTTTTAGTGCAAGCATGTGTTAAAAAAAATATATTAACATTAGTTTTAGTAATGGAAAATGATGATGTAGTGAAAAGGAAACAGATTTCAAAAATTTGGATGAGTGGTGAAAAGAGAGAAATAAATTTTCAGATTTAAACCTATTAAATGAACATAGAACATCGAGTCCTAGTGACAACATAATAAATGATAATATAAAGCAACATTTGGCCTTTCAAACAAATAATCTCTTTTTAATCATTATTTATCAAGATATTTTGATATAGGGAGGCTCATAATCTTCTGCAAATTGAATGCTTGGTGGTAGAAGTTAATTATGCGGCTTCTAAATGCTTTTGTCCTCGTCAAATTTGCAGCCGAGTATGACAATGTATAATAGATTCTTGTATGTAATTTGTCGTTACTTTGAATTATTACAGTTTTTAACTATAATTTCGTCTCAATGGTTACGAGTTATTTTAAACTTGTGAACTTATACATTCCGTTTTAAAAAAATATATGAAAGAAACTACTTTTTAAATGGGGCCCGTAAGTGCTGTTTTATGTTGTGGTTAAATTATTTTATTCTATTCATTAATTTATTTTTAATCTGAAATTATGTTTACCTGCCAATATTTCGCATACGCATCCTAGCTTCAGGGGGCATCTCTTCTGGCTCACTGTCACTGTCTTGATTAAATGCAGCTGCCACCGTCAGTTTTGGTTTTTTAGTTGAGCTGATTTTCTTTGAGTTTAGTTTCATTTGAATACTCATACTTTTTAACCTGTTTTTAGCCCCAAGACCGACATTTTCTATTTTTTTATCCTGTTCTTTGGAGTTTTGTGCCTTGTCATCGAGTTCCTCTTTGATTTCTTTTTTGATGTGTATTTCTTCTCTTCGCCTTGGTGATCGAGATCTTGACCTTTCTTTTTTTATCGAGCGAGTACCTAATAAACACTGACAAATTTAAAGTATTTTAATAAAGAGCAAATTATATTTTAAATCATGATTGTTAACAAAACCTGGTCAGGTATAAAAACTTATATTACCATGATATACACTTGCTTCGTATTTACTATTCATTTCGAAATTTTGTGTCTTCCGACTTAATCGATAAATTTATTTGAAAATGTAGTTAAAAACAAAAAAAAAAGTAAATTATTCCATTTCCAATAATTAAACAGCATTACACTACCACAACCACATCACATCGATGTAGTTTAGGAATTTTCGTTTCTTAGGATTAGAAATCTAGTAACTAGTAACTAGGGATGCGCGATGTTCACCGATGTATCTTAAACATCGATACTTTGCTTACGATATTCGATATTTACATCGATTTTATTTGTTTCGATATTATAAGACAGCATCGATAGTTTTTTACGATGTTTCATGCGATGTTTGTGGCCTATTTATACTAATTCGTTATTATCGTTGTCCATTATTTCGTGACTCCATCTAGGGAGCATTAGTAGATCTAGAAAATCTCTAATGAAACTAAACTGTAACTAATACTTCAGTCAACTCAGTATCATCATATTACTCAGTATCTTCTATGTTCTATCAGAAATTTCACAGAAAATCCCAAGGAGTCTCCCAGGAAAATCCGTTGGAGCTCTGGAAGGAGATGAAATGTATATTTCCTACTTTATCCACCAAAATATCTTAGCATGGTAGCGACATCAATTCCCTCCGAAAGACTTTTCTCAAAGGCAGGCCAAGTGTTAACCCAGCAAAGAAATAGACTTAAAGGAAAAAGCTCGTCAAAATTATTATTTTTTCAAAATTGTTCCCAAAATATATTTTTTTAATGAACGAGTTTTAGTTTTATTTCAAGATTATTTTATTTTTTTGTTATTTAACATGGTATTTCTTTGTTTCTGTGTTTTAAATCAGTATTTTAATTTAATTTATTTTTTTATACCGGAGTATCCACATTTTATATTTATTTCTAAAATATATTTTTATTAAAATAAGTTCTCTATATTTAATATTACACTTTCATAGAAAATATCGATGTTTAAGAAAATCGATGTATTTGATCCGATATTTTTAATACATCGATATTTGAATTTCGATGTATCAAATGATGTCAACATCGATGTTTTAGATACATCGCGCATCCCTACTAGTAACTAGTAACTTACTAACATAATAGGGGTTTATGGTTTATGAAAATTCACTCAGTGTGCTCAGTTTGTTATCTTCTTGTTAGTTTTATTATTTTAGAGAGAGATAACAAAATGTCCAGATTACTACGAGTACGAGTAGGCGGATGCACAGCATGCGCGCCATTATTCCATAACTAGAAATTGACCTCAATGATTTGGAATCGAGGGGGATTATCCCTCTTTATCCCGCCTCATCTCGTGTAGGCCTGGACAGCCTTCGTAGGTGGGCCCCATCCGTCGTCTACCCCGACCGCAAATGCGGCCGGTGTAGGCGCTTTGTGGGACCTCCTTTTGTCCTGGCTGGGCCCCGCCGGCTAGGGCCCTTTCTTCTGGCGCTCTTCTTGCTTCGCCGGCTCGTCTGTGTAAACCCCGGGGGTAGTGTCATGTTTATGTGTGGTATGGTTGGGTAGGGTAGTGCGGCTATGCAGCNTAGAAATTGGCCTCAATGATTTGGGATCGAGGGGGATTATCCCTCTTTATCCTGCCTCATCTCGTGTAGGCCTGGACAGCCTTCGTAGGTGGGCCCCATCCGTCGTCTACCCCGACCGCAAATGCGGCCGGTGTAGGCGCTTTGTGGGACCTCCATTTGTCCTGGCTGGGCCCCGCCGGCTAGGGTCCTTCCTTCTGGGGCTCTTCTTGCTACCCCGGCTCGTCTGTGTAAACCCCGGGTGTGGTGTCATGTTTATGTGTAGTATAGTTGGGTATGGTAGTGCGGCTATGCAGGCAGGTGGGGGGGATATCGTCGGGGTGGTCACCCAGGGTCAAAAAGTTGGTGTCTAGGTCTTTTGTGTTTGTCGGTCATGTCGCGTACGTAGTCAACGGGTTGCCTGAGGAGGGGACTGTCATGTATAGCGTCTACGTCAAACCGTTTCTCCGCGTTTTGTTTTATTGTCTGTGGAACGTTTGTGTATTGTAAGTCTCGTAATATGTCAGTGTTTCTTACGTACCAGGGCGTGTCGGTGGCCGTGCGGAGGACTATGTTTTCCACAGTCTGTAGTGACTTTAAGTAGCTTGTTGCCGCGTGACCCCACGCGTGGAGGCGTAGGTTAGCTGCGGTTGAAGTTGAAGTACTTATCACGTGACTATCAACATGTAAATGGGCATCAGTAAAGCGACCCCCCCTGCCCGCTAACCTTTTCTGTTTCAGAGACAGCCAGGATCAAGAAACGAAGACAACGACACACACACACACATACACACCCCCCCATACCCTCCTTACCCCTCCCCTCCCGCGCTAGCCTAAGGGCCATCTTAGCAAAGCGCTTCCCAGGCTGCATAGCCGCACTACCCTACCCAACCATACCACACATAAACATGACACTACCCCCGGGGTTTACACAGACGAGCCGGCGAAGCAAGAAGAGCGCCAGAAGAAAGGGCCCTAGCCGGCGGGGCCCAGCCAGGACAAAAGGAGGTCCCACAAAGCGCCTACACCGGCCGCATTTGCGGTCGGGGTAGACGACGGATGGGGCCACCTACGAAGGCTGTCCAGGCCTACACGAGATGAGGCAGGATAAAGAGGGATAATCCCCCTCGAGGTGAGGTACGTAAGCATCTCAGGATAACTGATCGTGAGCAGTCACAACTCTGATTTCAAATGATAAACCAAGCTATTATGAATCCCCCTCGATCCCAAATCATTGAGGCCAATTTCTAGCCATAGAATAATAAGTAAAGCGACTTGTCACCAAGATCATTATAATCTTGACTTGACACTCCGTCAAGGTCAAAACGGATTGGATGTTAACGGTCACGCACCGTTATTTTTGGCGTTAAGCGTGGCTTCGTTAATTTGGGACCGAGAAGGACTATCTCTCTCATCGTGAGGAGTGGGTTTTTGGGAATAGCTTGTAGCTAGGGAATGCACGCAGCCTTTGAGTCGGTGATTTGTGAGCTGGTGCGGGGATAGGTACGTCGGGGTCACAGCGGAGTTTTTCCTTCTTGGGGGCTTTCGTTTTGGCAAAAATGGTACCTATTAGCAACTAATATCAGTTCAGAGTAGCTCTAAGTTGCTATTAGCTGCTGATAGCTACTATTTTTACCAAATCGAAAGGGCCTCTTTGGTTCTTCTTGGTCCTGGCCCTCGAGCATATACTACCTCCAGTAGTATATGCTCAGGTTAAGGTAGACATCCCGGGTCAATAAGTAAGTGTCTAGGTTGTCTGTATGTGTCTCTTACGTCAGGTACATAGTCAACGGTTTGTCTAAGGAGCGGGTTGTCGTGTCTCGCGGCCGCGTCTATGTTTTTTTGGGTATGTGTAGGTATTGTCTGTGGCTTGTAAGTCTCATGTGTAAGGCTATGTTTTCTACAGCCTAGAGTGGTTAGGTGGTAGAGAGGCGTAGGATAGCTGCGGTTGAAGTACCACCTTAATTAGCGTTTGCTTATTTTTTAAACTTAGAGTGTTCCTTCCCTTGAATAAAGAATAGAGCTTAGCTCTGGTGGTCCCCGCTCGCGCCACTGTCTCCGCGATGTGCGTTTTCCACGTTAAGTCGCCGGTCTATCGTCACGCCCAGGTATTGCGTATGTCGGCCTCAGGAGGTAGGTTCTTGGGACAGTGTCAATATATCTAGGTCGGGCGGAATTTTGCGTCTAGGATATGGCAGTACTTTTGTTGGGGTTAATTTTGGCTTTTCACCCAGATTTCAAGTTGGTTTAAAAAGCGTTCTGTGTGTGTTGCGTTTATGGATTGTGCTGTTATGGTTAGGTGGTCTGCGTTTATGTATGTGTTTGTGTTGGGGGTATGAGGTATGTCGGAGTTGTAAATAGTGTAGAGGTGTGGGGATAGGACGGAGCTCTGGGGGACACCGGCCTCCATAGCACGGGTTGTGGAATGGGTGTTTTGAAATTTTCGGTAGCGGATGTAGGACTTGGTGAGTTTGACAAAGGATATGGGGTATTGGTTGGTGAACATAGCCGGGAGTAGGTTAATGGGCCGGTAGTTGGAAGGGAAGTTTCCTTTGTTGGGTTTAGGAATGAGGATTATATTTGCTGTTTTCCAGCGTGTAGGGAAGTATAGCGTTTGTTATGTTTAGTAGGGCCATGAAGCCCTTGTGTAGTAGTCGTTTTAGTGTAATATTTGGTCAGGTCCGGGTGCTTTTTTGTTTTTTTTAGTTAGTCTTAATATTTGTCTGAGTTCGTCTGGTGTGACGGGTTATATAATGTCATAATCAGGTTCTCTGTTGACGTCAGGCCGCGAAATCAGTAACCTCTTCGAAATTCCCGTCCTTGTCCATCAGCTAGGGTAGTTTACACTGCAGTTCCAGGCTATTAGCGAAAGCTTCGGCCTTTTTCTGGTCTATGCAAATCACCCCACTGCTGCCATGGATTGTCGGGGGTTTGCGTCTGGCGGGCAGTCGCAGGGCCCTCTACGTTTTCCAGAGTCTGTTGTCTTGTGGTTCCAGCGACTCCAAGTGCCTGGATCAGCTTTCCTGGGCCAGCCGACTCAGGGCCGCCTTCATCCGTCTGATTAGTATCTTTAGGGGATGGTTACGTGGTTACAACGGATCCGTGATCACGTATACATGCGGATCCAGGTTAATAGTTATATTTTGGAAAACTCCTATTGACAGACAGAAAACAGAAGGAGAGAGAGAGACAACACAAACCTCTGAAAATACAACAAAGTTTTTTTTTCTCAAATAGAAGTAGTTTTAAACACCGCCTTTATTGGGCGGAGTAAATCAGATTAAGTTCGCTCGGTTAAGTAATATGGATAGTATCAAAATATTCAAATACTTATTAAATGTATCAAATTAAAATTAAATTGAATTTTAAATCACGAGAAATTATGTTTCCGCTTCACTCACCGATCATAGTCAATGAACTATATACACACTAGAAGGAAGTCTACCATAATACAAATGTTGTCTTGCTTCACCATAAATTAAAACGATATCTATCAACTCCGAGTTGCTATCACGCAAGCCACTAACTACTAAAAAACTATTGTAAACACTATCGCAACGACGATTGTAAAATCGGATTTCAGTAGTCGGAGTCGCTGAGGTCACGTGGCTCTCCACGCGTATTGCGAATGAC